TAGTTGACTATTCTTCTTCTTCTTTGTTCTCCTGAAGAAGAATAGTCAACTATTCGAAAGCGCTCGAGTTTTGGGTCTTATTTTAAGTTTATGACAGTCAATTTAGTTACGGATTTCAAGTGCATGGTGTGTTTCGTATAGTTTCTAAAATATATAGAACTTTGATAACTTTGGAGAATGCCCTTATGTTTCATTTATGGCGACTAATAACGTGATAGAACAAATAAATACAGCAGGTATTACCACATTAGACTGTAATTCAGTATTTTTTAAACTAAGATGTTTCATAAATAGCATATTAGTATATCTTGAAGTTTTGTTAACAAATGTGTCAATATGTGTAATACTTAAGTCTGAGATTTTACTTACATATACTAAAGGTACTATATTAGTCTATGATGAGAAGTAAGTTGATTGTTGTACCGCATTCCTAAATTTTCTTTTGATGGTGATATAATCAAGTTGGTTTCTAACATTATCTCCAGGATTTCTCTCTGTATACCTTCTTCTCGGGTAGTGCTCAATCTATGTGTTCGTAATGACTTGATGATTTGCGACACACCAATTAATCCATATCTTTCCTTTTTCACTTTTCTCTCCAATTCGGTGAGGTCCAACAGTATTATCCCCTCACTCACAACCAACTTTCGCATTTAGATCTCCCATCACTATGACCATTTCTTGAGGTATGCAATGCTTTTTCTGATTCTGATATAGCTGTGTAGAGTATCAGTTTAAAACGGAAAGTGGAAAAACGTTTTTGAATTGCACTTACATTTCACAAGAAGCAGAAATGATCTGTCTATCTAGGATACTTGAACGAGCGAAAAAAAATAGTAAATATATTTTAAAGAATAAGGTTTAGAAAAATATTGAGTAATAATAGTGAGTTAAAGCGTCTGTAATTAAGAAGGCAAATTATCTGTATGTACTGCTCTCAAAACATAATTACGATATTAAAAATCTTTGATCATATAACAAGATAGCCAAACACTCATTAAAATTTACTTAATACGTTATACAGTCGCGATTATTACTAGATAAAAACAAAAGTTATATTAATCATATAAAATTCGTGAACTTCAGTATATCTTCATATTACTAAAACTCTGAGATTGTTTGCGTGTGTGTGCTTGTCTGTAATTAGATACAGCAAAAACGGCGCAAAATATCGCCTTATTTATAATGAAATGGGAATAGAAACAGAATAAAACAAGTTTTGTTAAAATCGGGCCACGGGTTACCGAGTTAGCCCTGTTTTTCGGGTCATTTTTATGAAAATTTCTAGATGAATTTAGGTACACTAGATA